TCGGAGGCTAATTTGCAAATCCGACAATTTTCTACTAGCAGAAAGGCGCCCCGGAGGGCATCGGATGCATATCTGTGTTGGGGAGGCTGAGCTGGAGAAAAGCCTCTGATGTGCAGCCTGGGAGGAGAGTATTTGGGTCCCTAATTTATTCATCTATCCTTCAAAAAATGACTGTGGTCAAATACAAAACACATCACCATTTTTAGGACACGGCGCTCAATGCCGTGTTTAGTCTTTTGTGTCCCATTCCTGCCCTATTGACCGATTTCCACTAAAATCCATTGGTCCCCGCGTTTACAGAGTCCTGTTAGCAGAACAGTATTTTGTGATTAAAAAGGTATTTTATTATGCTTTATATTAGGAGGAGTGTACCAAGATCGCCCTGATGCATAAACTTTACCATGGCAACATGGCATCCTGGAGCATTTAAATGCCTAGCAGCACAATTCAATATATCTCATGGAGCGTCCTTCAAACCTGGTATCAGAACTCGTCTCCTAAAGAATCAGCTGTAAATTACAGAGCAAAGGTGGGAAGTCATGATGAAGAGAGAGGAATGGTCCAAGGGAGAAAACTGGAGATCTTCACGTACAGCAGCAAAAAGTTAGATAAAAAAAACCCAAACCAACCCCAAACTAGGCTGCTGCTAATATTTTAAGTAGCTGTGTGTCAGTTCGTTAAGCTGGCCAGCAGTCAGCAGGCCATTTTGGGTGGAGAGAAGAGAAGACCAAGGATGGAAATGCCAGGCATTCCATCCCAGAGGAAGATAGAAAGGCTCGGTAATGGGGGAGAAAGGTGTTATGGCATGCAAGGCTCTGGGCAAGAGAGGAGATGCTGGCAGCCAGCGGCTCGTGAAAGCCAGGGTGGCTCCTGGGGCCAGGAGGGAGAGGAGAGCCAGAGGACCTGGAGGCTTTGGCCATCCCACGAAATTGCAGCGTGGTTAAACGGGGGATTGGAAGGGAGCGAGGGGGATGCTGAGTGATAGGAAACAACTTTCTGTGGCAGCAGATCTGTCTTGCAGCTCCCTTCCAAGGAAATGACGAATGTTGTGTGTGTTTCATCCACGCCGAGATATACTGAGAAGACGGGGGGGATTTATTTTTGACTGGGATGAATATAGCGTACCTGCAGGGTCTCCTCGCTCCCGTTTGGGGCTGGGTCAGGGGTTTCTGCATACGGTGAGACGATGTGGGTAGTGGTGCGGGTGGCCATACGCCTGTGTGTAACCTCCTTGGTCATCACTAATTCAGCAGCCTCCTCCGGTATTGTGTTGGGCCGGCGTCAGATATCCCGGGATCCGCGTACCAACTGCTTGCTTTTGTCTGGCCGACAGAGACAGCACCTGGGACTGTTGCAAGGGCATTCCCACTGCAGGACGTTCGTCTTTTTAGCATCTGCCGGCCGTGAGATTCAAGCGTTGTATTAATCCTCTCTGGGTGGCTAATTCCGGAGGAGTCAAGCTGAGGATGGGATGCTTGGGAGGCAGCACAGCCCTCCATGGCACCCTGTCTGGTTGCTTGCACGTAAGGACCAGCACAGAGGCCAAATTTGGCTCAAGTAGAGGAAAACAAGGCAGCTGCGTGAGGTCAGCACATCTGGCAAGAGCATGAAAGCAGGACAAGTGCCTGTAGTACTTACCCTAATACTCTCCCTGGCACCGAATACATCCAGCTAAGAAAATTCCCGAGCTGCATGTGGCTTCTCTGTTATTTGACAGATTTTTTTTTTTTCTTTTTTCCTTTGATTAACCTTCCCAGTCTCTCCTTGAATACGCGTGGACTTTTATCATCCTCAGCATCCTCTGGGAAGAGACCCCCACAGTTAAACTACTGCTTGTAAGGTGAAGAATCACTTGTGAGCTTGATCCATCTGCGCCTTCCTCTGATTAACCTGGACTGATGTCCCTTAACTCTTGTATTTGAAGAGAGAGGCCATGCCCACCCCAGGGACACGGTGCCCTGCGAATGCAGGCAGTTATTTGGAGGGGAGCACCTGGATTCGGCCCTGCTGTTGCGTATTTTAATAACCAAAAACCCTTTGAAATTCTTCAGCAGCCTGCAGCATTCGCTACTTTATCGGCTGTTGGAAGGAAAGCGCCGCTTTGAGCCCTGAGCTGGGGCAGGTGAGAGGAGGAGAGAACCGTTACAGCCGTTAGGTTTTAAAGCACATCGAGACAATGGGCAGGGTTCGCAGAGCCCACTACAGCCCGTGCCCAGCCTGGAGCTCCTGGCCTGGCAGCGGGTCTGCTCTGTAAAATCTCTCTCTTAAGCACGGGGTCCGGTCACGCATGGCGGCTGGCAGGGGAAGAGGCTCGTGTCCTCCCGCTTCCCCCCTCACTTTCCCCCCGCCACGCCATTTGGCATCGGCCGTACCAGCTGCTTGTGCTCACGCTGCCTTTTCTTTTGCTCAGGTAACACCAACAGCATCTTTGCGCTGGACTACATCAGCGGAGCTTTAACCCTGAATGGGCCGCTGGACCGGGAAAACCCCTTCTATAGCGCTGGATTCATCCTCACGGTGAAGGTGAGACCTCCTCCAGCCGGGAGGCATGTCGGCAGAGCAGGACGGGGAGGGCACCCAGCTTGGGGACAGGTCCTTCGAGGTGGAGGCACAAACCTGGGACACGTCGTTCCCGTGAGCATCCAGAGCCGTGATGTGCCGTTCCCCGGCCAAGCCAAGCGAGATGTTTAACACAGCCCCCTTCTACGGTGGCCCAAAATGTGATCGCCTCTATACGGATGTATAAGGTCATTTTTGGTGCCCTGCCTGGTCTCCAACTAGGTCTGCCTGCGGCTGTATCTGCTGGCAGCGTGCAGATGCCCTGGGCTTGCGAGTAGCACGAGACACCTACATTCAGGCACCTGAACTGTGCCCGCTTGTGCCTATTTCCCACCTTTCACCCCCAAAACCCCAGCAAAACAGGAACACTTTGTCATATCAGCAGAAAACGGTGTAACAAGGCATCGCCTGCATCTGCCCGGCGCCGGCGGGCATGGGGAAGGAGTGATGCTGAAAGTTGCCTCGTCAAGAAAAGGCACTGGAGCGTGGTCTTCCAGCCCCACCTGAGAGCGGCTCCCCGGCTTCGCTCGCAGCCCTGTAATTAAAATCAATACCAAGCTGGGCAGCTGCTTGGAAACACATTTAGAAGTATAGATTCTGCTGGGCCGGGGTGGGGGAAAAAATCAGCGTCGTAGGAAGGGTCATTGATCGGGAGGGCAGCAGCCAGCACATCACCTTCTCATTTTGGCAAGCGCAATGCTTTGTCGGGGGGCAAAGGGGCGAGGAATTAGCAGCCATGGTCCCAGGCGCAGGTCATACTGTGGGGCTTTATGCACGGGGAAGAGATCTGCATCCATCCTTGGTATCTCTTGGTTTGGGCTTTTATAGTTTAAATTCAGTAGAAATCGAGAGAGGGAGGATTTTCTGTTTTTAATAGGGACAAAAATATCTGTTTAATCTTGGAAAGGTTTGTGAACCTGAAAACTTGCCCGTTTTCCTGCCTGCATGATAATGCAGTTCCAACTATATTCTGTTGATCCGAGAGGTTTTGATTTCCTCTCCCCACAAACTTTGCATCCTCCCGCAAATGCCAACCCTCTGCGGCCTGCATCCCTGGGACCCAAAATGTTCTCTGCTGCTCTCATCCTGGAGCGCGCAGTGAAAATACAGCTGGATTGCTCCTCATTCGGATCAGCCTGTTCTGCTGTTGTGTGCAGAAGCGGTGAATAGCAATGAGCTGTGTGGGTCATGTTAGCGTCGTTTTTCTGTGCCCACAGCAAAGCAAGATTATCCAAAGGACAAGAGGAGGGACTCTGCTTGAAAAGGCTGTTCCACAAGTCTTGCTTCTCTGGCAATAAAATCTGCACTCTTTCCTTTTGGGAAAGCAAAATTAAAGTCCTTCTTGAGACAGAGGTGTGATATGAAGTCATGACTCAGCTCTGTATTTAGACATATCTTGCCAAACCTATTTTAAGGTCTAAAGCTAGTTTTCTTCTGTTGCCCTAGTTTTCTGTCCCTGTAGTAGTACTACGGTGGTTTGCTCCCTGCTCCTGGTCCCACCTCGGGAGATGGCAGAGGAGAAAATAGGAGTGCTCTTTGCTCCATCTGGGCTTCCCTTATTTTGAGGACTGTCCCCCACATCTCACAAGGCAATTTTTTGGTTTAACTGCTTGTGGCAAGGAAACCACCTACTCATCCCTCAGCGTGATTCCGAGTTCTGACAACTCGTTGCATGACAGGGGCAAACGAGCACTTGGCCACGGCCATCCCAAGTGGGACGTTAAACCCCTGGGAAGGTTTGCAAGAGCGCTGTGGGTCTGAAGCACGGGTGATGGGAGAGCTGGGTCACCATCCGTGCATGTTAATGGGTCAGCGGCGTGGAAAGGTGCTCAAGGTTAAGGGGCAATGGCAGCACCAACTGAGCACCCTTCCTTGGCAAGGCGGAGGAAGCAAAAGCTGCAAGAGTCTACTCACGGCATGCAGGCTTTCGTTTACATTTAGTCTTTTGAAAAATAAAGGCTGCCCTGTTGTCTTCTCTCCTTGCAGGGGACAGAGCTGAACGATGACCGCACACCCTCCAACGCCACCGTCACCACCACCTTCAACATCCTAGTCATCGACATCAATGACAACGCACCCGAGTTCAACAGCTCGGAGTACAGCGTGGCCATCCCAGAGCTGGCCCAGGTGGGCTTTGCCCTTCCCCTCTTCATCCAGGTGCAGGACAAAGACGAGGTGAGGTACCCCGAGCCGCGGGCACTTCTGTCCATCCCTTGTAGGGTGGCACTGGTGTGGTTTTGGGGTGATGAACCTGCGATGAGGTGCATGGTTATGTCCTGATACCCCCTTTTTCAGCTCAGTGCAGACACCCTCCCCAGAGCGCAGGCACGGCGTGTGCTTTAATGCAGGCAGGATTGCACGGCCAGCGAGAGCCAGAAAATAGGATTGTGTGGGATGCTGATTCTCGCCCGCTTCTGAGGGCTCTTGTCGGGCAGTCCTTTGCCATTCTGTTTTAGAAAGGGAGGAGGTTTTCTCCCAGGGGACCGGTACCGCTGCTGTCAGGGAGGAGGTA